CCCACCCCACTCCACCCCACCCCACTCTCTTTTCAAAATGCTCTCTCCTGGCACAGATTTTTTTTTCCCCAAAAGAGAAACCTTCTTGGAGTCAGAAGGGATGGGTGGTCTATTCTTTTTCAAAATGGCATCACAAAAATAGCATGAATATGCGTTTGCATTAAAAGCGGTGTATTACAATAGGGATCTTGGTTAATTGTATGATGCATTGTAGCAACTATGTCCAGCATTCAAGAAGTTGAAATCTGGATCCTAATGCAGTCAAGTCTCTTTAAAGATGTAAATTGGAGTCAAACACCGAAAACAGTAGGGTTCTCTTGATCCTTTCACAAAAGGTGCAAAGGACTAATCAGACTCCATTGCTAGGCCGGCCACGTTGTTTACAATAAACAGGAAGAGAGTTAGGCTGTAATTTCCCCACTTAATACTTGGAGACAAAAGCAGTGGTTGGAAGCCTTCACATATTTAGAGTTGCAGCACATCAAAACATTTCCTGCAAAAAAGTGAAAAAAGTATTAGTAGATTCTAGGCGTGCTGAGGGACCCTATCTTGGGGCATTCTTATAAAAGGAAGTCCTGAGCCCCACTCCTGGGAGTAACCTGTGGATCAGGGTTGGGCTACTGACGGATGCTGTACTTCTCCTAATGTGCAACACACTTCTTGTGTGCATATTGAAATATCTATGTTGAGAGAAATGTACATTTTGATCTTTACAGTATTACATTTGTATGTAATACGTTAAAAGAATACAAACCTGCAGAAATGGAAGGGGCCGATGTATAAAAAGATGAAAATCTGAGGGAGACAGTCTCAGACATTCAGCCTGAACAGACAATGTAGCCAAATTGGAAAAAGTGTCAAGCGGTCTGGCAGTGGGTTTGTGCATGTGTTGGTTGAACAGGATGGGTTAGGGATGCTACATATTTAACAGGGTTTAGGTTTGTGAACTCATGAAAAGTCTAAAAAAGCAAATCACAATCATGCTGTAATTAAATAAGAGGTGTTTGAGATCCAGTTTACTGCAAACCCTGAACTCCAGATAGAATCTCTTTCTGGTATATCTTCATCTTATTCCAAAACCTACATGGCCTGACACATCAAAAAAAGGACCTCAGCACTACATACAATAACCTTGTATTTCTATCTGCTCTGGCAGTCTTGGGGTTTTGAAGTAGTAAATCATTGCAATGCCTAGGTACCCACCGTTAGACTATAAGCAAGTAGACAACAGTGGCTTTGTCTGCTGTAACACAAGGAAATGATAGGTGTGGAGCATTGCTACGTAAAATCTTTTAAAAATAAATTGATTTTCCTGCTTTTCAGAGAGCAAATGCATTACTATTGTTCAGAATTGAGGCTTTGGAAAGAGCGACTCATGTGTTTGCCTCTGCTGAGGTACGTTGCTTCACTTTAAAAGGAAGGACAAGATCATGAGGTCACAGAAACAGAAGACATTCCCTTCTTTCAGACTCTTTGTCTGTGTCCACGATCCTGCCATTAGGCAGTGTGGCGCAGCTGCTGCAAAAATTAAACAAATAACCAATTATTTATGAGATTTATAGGTGTCCCCAATCTGTTATGACTCTGGTGTATAATTTTACTTCCTAGAGATGGAGATGGGGAGCTTAAAGCAAAAATGCTTTGGGTGCTAAAATAACTTGAGCAGCATAAACAAAACAATTTGAGAAGAAGACACCATAACTTAAACCAGTAGCTTAAATAGTTTTGCAGAAAGTTCCACCTGGATGGCTGTGTGTATTATTTCAGGTATGACAAAAGCAACATTTCTTCTTCCTCCACTGCTTTGTGACAGGCTTCATAACTGCTTCTATAGTTCTGATATGTTGGAGCAAAAAAAGAATTGCCAGCTTTGTTGTTGTTATTTAAAAAAAAAACCCACTGTAACTGCAAGTTTTCATTTTAAATTCACAAATCATAGCAACCACACAGTTACAAGGATAAAATGTTGCTTGCCTATGTTGCCCTAATGCGAGACATATTTTCTTGGGAATAAGCATGAGTTTATGGCAGGAAAGAGCGATAAGATTTTAGAAGTAAAGATAGTCAAAAGTGTATCCACAAGTATGCAAATGTTGATTGGCTAATTCCCTCCCCTCCTTGAAAAAATATAGTCTTTGGCGCCAAGACTCAGTTCTACCTGTCCCACTGGCTCTGCACCTCAAGCTTAGCCCAAAATGTCTATGTCACCATCCAGGACCTATAGACTTCTGCATCCTCTGTGACTGAATCCTTTCAATTGGAGGGATCAGGAACTGAATTTGGGAGCCAATGTTTACAAAGTACATTCCTTACTAGTAAGCTGTGATCCCTCTTTTCCTTGCTGAGTCCTGCTGGAAAACAGAACTTCTGGTCTGTGAGGGGGTCTGTTTCCTCCCTTTGGAGTGGCCTTCTTGCTCACTCCCTGAACCTCCTGAGTGGTTGGGTTCCATGGGGGTAGAAAGAACCCAATGAGTCTTACAAGAGGGCTACAACAAACCCTGAGAGACTGCCCTCACAACCTGTATTAAAAGTCATGTGAAGGTAGAAACCTTAAGGCCAGGAACACTGTAATCAATAAATGCCCTGAGGTCTCAAAAGGAAATATTCCTTCCACAATAAGGGATGCAGTGAAACTCAGGACCGCTGTTCTGAAATATAAAATAAGGCAAGAGGGGGAAAATGTGTTTAATAACACCTTAACCCACCAATTTGTTTAGTTTAAGGCTTGATAAGCCCTCAAGCAGTATTTCTCAACCATGGCAGCTTTCAGATGTCTGGACTCCAACTCCCAGAATTCCTCAGCCAACCTGGGGAGTTGGAGTTCACACATCTGAAAGCTGCCATGGTTGAGAAACACTTCCCTCAAGTATCAACATCCAAACCTGGAACCACTAAAGCTATAATCTTGTATGTACCCTAAGGTAGGTGTAGGTGAATTCACCTGTAGGTGAATTCACCTATTGAATTCAATGAAGGTGAGTTTACAACAGAGGCAGGATGAGAACTGGGAACTCCTTAGCTTGTACTCTTTTGTCATGTAGCTCCCTCGTGATCTTCTATTCAGATGGGAGCCTGGGCATTTCCCCAAGGGAATGCAAACATCTCTGCTCCTTCCCATCAGATTGCAAGCATGCAAAGACACATACAGAGAGGAAAGGCAGGAGTTATCCCTTATTATGATTAACATTTTGTTCACAGCCTACAGGAAGGCCAGTGATCGTTTGTCTGTCTAGTATGTGGGGGAAAATGGCACTGCAACGTAACCATAAAAAGACAAAAGAACTCTGAAAAACAAATAACCAAATATTTACAACAGCCAGACTTCCTCCCAAACTGCTTCTGTATTACTTGTCTTTACATAGGAACATTTTTTTCCCCTCATAGTTGCTGGTGAGGTGCTCCTGTGAAACCTTTGAAAAGAACTTGTAAGTAGCAGTCTACCCCCAAAATAATATTTTGGGAATGCTGCCACAGAGAAACCAGAAGTTTTACCTTCAAACCATCAGTATTCATGGTGTATGTGTGTTCAAATCAGGCAACATGGTGCTTGTGGCATCACAATACAATCCCTTTCTCTTTTGTGAGTGTGTGCATGCATATACAAAAAAGGCAGAGATTGCATCACACTGTAATCTGCCTTGAGATACAGGCCTGGACACTGATGCTTCAGAGCCAGTATTCTTCCTCCATCTGTCAGCTTCCTGGTCTTGTGCAAGATGCCCAGAGACATTTACTACATCGGTATTCATTTACTCATTAAAAGAAGCTTAAATTTAAGGGTACACCTTAATCTTTTCTTCTGCTAATATAACTTCAGTATAATCAGCAATGTAAGCCCCTTTCCATCCCTTTGGGGCTTAGAGAAGATGGAACATGCTGGCTCAACAAGGTTGCCTAACTTGGAACTCCCTAAGCCAACTGCTACCCATCAACCATGTATTGGTGCTTGACAACCATTCTGTTCTGCAGTTCAGCCTGGGGAGGAACATATAGTATCATATACCCCAGAACAATCAAAACAGAGTGTGGTCATAGACACACAGGAGACAGGCTTGCATCAAGTCAGGCCACTGGTCTGTTGAACATGGAGTTGACTACATGGAGGTAGGAATCTGTGGCCTTCTGATGAACAATTCTCAGTAGCTGCAGCCAACGTGGCCAACTGTGATGGGTGCTGAATGCTGTTGTTCAGCAAGTTCTATGGACACAGCTTCCCCAACTTTAACCTGAAATGACTGGCAGTCACTCCTCAGGCTTTCAGAAAGGCATTTTTACCAGTTCTATGCAGGGAAGGCAGAGACTAAGCACAAAGGATGTGCTCTAGTGCTACACCTAATTGGCCCAGATATAATATGTGGTTGGTGGCTGTGTCTAAGTTTGTATCATTATGAGTTTTCTATGCTTTGGTTTCAATAAAAAGGTCTAACATGGCTCTAATAGACAATAACAGAAGAGCTAGTTGTCCTCAAGAATTGCTTGTCAATTTATACTTAAGCATTTCATTCATGACATTCCAAGTAGTTCTTTTGAATCCCCATCAACAGATTTTCAACTGAGTGCTAAGGAAGTCATATAAAAAAAAAATCTATAACAATACTCATCCCCCTTAAAAACGAACAAAACATCACCCTAGAATTAAGTAGGTTATTCTGGAGTTATTAAGAATAAAATCCTGACGTTCCCAGAAACTCCATAAATTGTTACATTTATTGTTAGCATTGCCACTCAGAGGTGGCAAGACTTCTATAGCCACATATGGATTAATAATGCAACGGAAACACCAGCCTTTATGAAAACCTGTGTACTTCACCTGTCTTTTGGGATATGAAATGCCCTGCAGAGTTGGTACAGATCACCCTGTTTCTACTTTAACAGATTGACGCTTGGATCTGTCAAATCTGACTGAAGACTTTTCCCCAGGCTACAGAATCTTTGAATAATTGTAAGATGCCTGGGAAAATAACATTCCCTTTGCAATGTTCTGTATCATTTGAAGCAATGTGATTCCATCATAAGCATACATATGATTAATCATGTGTTATATTTTCCTCAGATAATAGAACAAAGAGAAAACAAGTAAAACAAAGGTCTTGTAAAACACTCATCATTCTCTCTCCTTGCTGAAATTCTCATGATAAGCTAAGAGAAATACCCGATACATTGACAAATCCCAACCATTTGGCTTTGTGATGAATCATCACATAACACAAGAAAATGATTAATAGGTGTAGCCAAAGATTTGCAAAGCACACCACAGCTTTAGCTACTGATCCTATAATTAATAAATACATATGCCCCAACTGGTCCACTAATGATTTCATCTCCTAGGTGCTATACGACTAAGACACTGGGAACAGGGACTCTGCGTACAACATATTACTGGATTTGACTGTAGGATTCACTCAAGACATTTCACAAGGTAAAGGCCTAATTTAAGCAGCCAGTACACTGAAGGTATGCACCTCAATATAATGTCATTCTTTCCAAAAAGTGGCCAGTTTGATTCTGATCAAGAACATGCCATTAAAACAGTTAATTTGTGGACAAATCCACCATATCTTGATAGCTCATGGCAACTTGCAACTGGAGAAGCACTAAATGTAGTCCTATCTGTAATCATGATTTGCTTCCATCTATTGACATGAGGTGTTTCAGACCCCAAATTCCAATGAAAAGCTCAAATGGGCAAGCTGGTACACAAGAATTGTGGAACAGATCCTGGACCTGAGAACACAATTTCTCTGGCATCATTTTGGGGTAAGGGCTGCCATCTTGGAATGACCTGCTGGAGAACACGCCTCCCTCAAAACTGAATTTGATTCCGTTTGATATACAGTTACTTGGCATTACATGTAATTGATTAAATACAGGTAATAGGATTGCCTTGCATGTATTTAATAGTTTTTACCTTGTCTGAAATTAATAATTGCAGTTCACTGACAAGAACTTGAGACATTTGGCAGGCACATAGGGCCCTGAGGTCTCAGGTTGCTCACCAAGGTGACTCGAAAGCCCCTAATTGTCCTGGGAGACAAAAAGTAACTGCAAGGCTGGAGCCCAGAATGAATATTCCATGTCACCACACTGTTCCCTCATAATGGAGGAATAAACCTGTTCGCTTGCATGATATACAGTACAGATGTCATGTTCAATCATGTAACTACCTAATTGATGTAATTCTTGTTTCTCTTTAAAAAAAAGGGAGGGAGGGACCACCTGAAACATTTCCATCAAATCAAGCCAAAATAAACATCTGTAACTATCATGTATCAGATCAGACAATTGGTTCCTCTACTTAATATTATCCACTGTGGGAGCACAATCATTCTTTTAGCTGAAGGCCACACTTTGGCTTTGAGTAGTATGCTTGGGAGTGCAGGAATGGGGCTAGGGCACAAACTAGAATTAAATAAAAAACAACTAAAAGTTAGATCCTTTACACATTTACCATTTGGCAGTGCTTTTTGGAGAGTCTTTGGGGGTTACACTCAAAGCTTTAAATGGTCATAGGGCCAAGGGTATTTAATTTGGTCCTCCAGGTTTCAGAAAGGGCATTTCCCTCCTTTTCCTGATGATGCTAAAGATTGGGACCTTCTCCGTGTAAAGTGCATGCTACATTACTGAGAGGATGGGTGGAAGAAATCTATCCTAAAGAAACAGACAGCTATTATTTTACAGTCCTCTGTTACTGATTTATCTTCTAGCTTACCTCTACATTTAACATCATCAGTCTGCAGAGTGCCAGGTCATCATCATAACCATTTCAAAGGCAACTGCTTTTATTAACTGTGAGAACTATTTGCTTGTAGCTTACTGGAGTAATCAGACTCAGGGCACAATGTCACAGTGCCTATTTTTAACTTCCTAGATTCACAGCAAAGCAATGAGCAATTCACTGAATTCCATAGTAAGGGCCCTGACATAATTTTTTGCTATATGACCTTATGTAGGATCTGCTAAGTATGACTTCTACCTCTTTAAAGGATCCAAATATAACAAAAGGAAGAAATTGTCCTAAAAAGCAAGCATTCTCATAAATGTAATGGTTTGGTTTCTAAAGGCATGAACAATGAAGTCTCTGTTCAGTCCATTCTGGAAGAAGAAAGCAAGCAGAAAGCACTGACAATGATGCACTTCGCAATTGGCAAAAGGTTTCTTTTCATTCAGTGTGAGGCAGAAGTCTAAAACCCCCCCACTGCCCAGCATCTGAATCACTGTATTCAAAATTATGATCATATTGGTATTGTGGCTATTTTAACACCACATACACACACTTCCCAATTCTAGAAAGTGCTTGTGTATTAAACTCACTATACATTAATGTAATGGGGAATAAGAACAGAAGTTTAGTGCCCTCTTGTCTTGCTTTGGAGTGCCCCACAGGCTGCAAACCTCTGCTGCAACTGCAGGTCACACTGAACGCACTGAGACAATGAATACCACTACCTAGGTCAGTCATTTGATTTTGCATTTTTACTCATTCAGTAACTGAGTCCAAGTTGCAAGGAACATTAGAAATAAGAAGAGCGCGTCATATTTCTGCAGGTGAGGGGGAAAATGGGTACACCCCACTATGTGCCTGATTTTGTGAAATTTGCACTGATCTGCTCTGGTACTTTCATCCTTGTAGCAGAGTTTGCAAAAGAGATTGGCAGAGTATGTATATAGTATGGTGATCCCAGCTTGGCTTCAATGCATGGTTTTATTACATCAAATTATATCTCACGGTGACATATTCATTCCATCAAACTCAACAGATGTGTTAATTACCTTCCTATTTAGAGCAACACCATCTTCACAATCGAGCACTGCACAATCAACGTTGAGAGATGGAATCTTCTGTATCTTTCTTACATCATCTGCAGGCACATAGAGAACAGCTCTCCGGGGTATGTAGCTGCGAGATGGTGTCACATGATAATGAAGCCTGGAAAAAGCTACAGGCAGAAGAGAGGTGGTCCTGTAAAAAAGTGAGTTTCCAGTTATTGATTTATGTGAATCACTTCTCACCCCACAGAATCCCAAACCAGTTCACAATAATAAGAAATGCTAACAATTATTCAGAATAAAAATAGAGTTCAGAACAATCCTTTGGAAGGCAAATGTTGTCAGGGTGGGAAACATTTTAATGGCAAAGGAAAATAAAAAGGGGGGTTAAAGGATGCACTAGGGCTGGGGGCTAGTTGGGTGCCAGAATTAGACAACTCCTTTCTTCTTAAATGGCTAGAGCATTTGGTTTTTTTAGTGATAAAGCTTACATCTGTAAATATCCAAATTCCACTTTTCAAAGAACATTTCATAAGAATGGCAAGATCTTACAAGAATCAAAATCAGGGCTTGGTCAGTTGAGCATTCTATTCCCACAACAGCCAACCAGATGTCTCTGAGAATCCCACCAGAGGAACACCTTCCCGGTCATGCCTTCAAAAGCATCCTTTTTTCAATACTGGAGTTAATACCTACATAGCCATTACAGTCTTTTCCTCTGGGGAAGTTGCCCAACCTCCTTTTAAAGCCATAAAACAAATGTCCCTCCTGCTGAGTGATTTCAAGTTGCTTCATACTTTACACTTCTTCAATATACAACCAAAAATGTCTGATGTAATTGGAACAAAATTTTGAAAATAAAAGGATCTGTGGTAACACTGGCTTGGAGCATTATAACGTACAATTTGGACAATAGGTTGATCTGAGCTAATTCCTAGTAGCCAAAGAGAAATTACATGGGGAGAGCTGCTATCACTTCCTAGTTCCCTAGTTTTTTTTAAAAAACTATCATTTTTATTAAGAATTTTAGTTTCAATAGTAAGTGCAAGAAAAGAGAAAAAGAAAAAGATAGAATATAATAAAGAAAATGAAAATAAATATATAAAGAAATTACTTCCAACCTTCATCACAAGTGTAAACAAATTTAATAATTCTTCACCTCTATATTCCTTCCTTTTACTTCTAACAGTCTTAATCTTTAATTCAATTAAATATTGTCATAGGATTTGATTTCTCTTCAATTCCTCTTTATTCCATTGCACAGATTCCAAGACTTTAACAAGCCTCTTTTGTAGATCCAATAAGAAAACATTTTCCATTTTCCAAACATTCTCTTGGTTTATCATTTGTATTTCCCTTTTAATTTTTAAAACTTCAGCCAATTTCTTTTGTATATCCAGTAAAGCGTCCTTTTCCAAATAATTCTCTTGGCTTGTCATTTGTAGTTTTACATTCTGTACTTTCTCTGCTTGTCAGATAAAATTTGTTTCCCATAAGAAGTTGTCTATTTTTTATAGTTAATTCCAAAATCTTATAGTAAAAGTCAATATTCAAAATTTATCTGGACCCTTAATCCATTTATAACTTCTTAGATCAAAATCTTATTTAGCTTTTTGCTGTTTATTTCAAATTCTTTAAGTTCTTA